AAGTAATGAAAGCTATCATTAGGAGGTCTATATAAAGAGCAAGATGATGACAATTAAATAGTTACCGGAGGCATCATCGTGCAAAAATATAAAATGATTGAAGACGAGTAATTTCAGATGAGCCAAGTAGAAACGAATAAATTAATCACGAAGGAGCCAAATGAATTAGTAGCATTCAAAGAAGATGGGAATAGCACGCAAAACCTCCAACTTCATTGATTTTGTGATTAAAGTCGATGAGAAAATTGAAGTATTCTTAGTTGAGTTCGAATTGAGCAATTTAGGCAACTCCTACCGTATTCAAAAGGGCAAAGTACGATTCTGGAGGACGTGCAAAATATGGAATAAAGTCAAATTAAGCAAGTTTAGCAGGATCTCCAAAACCATATTCAAAGTTCCATGAAATACTTGTGCAAAAGTCTAATTAAAGACTTTAAATTAGACGCTTATTGAGAGGCAACCAAATTTCTTAACATTTTATTTGTTATGCTTTCTGTATTTGCATTGCATATAATCTGTCAAGGTGCATTAGTTTTAGACATATGCTTCTGTTTCAATAAGAGGGTCATCATATCTATATTAAGCCTATTAAAAAAAAAATCATATATTTGAGTGAAAATAGTAAAAAATACATATGGCACATTTTTCAAGGCTCTAGAGATGTAAAAAAATTGGTTATCATACACGCTACATTATAACTTTTAAACTTTTTTTTACTCTTATATTTGTCTTCTTTTTTCAAGACTACAGAGATATCGAACGGGATGAAACTAACAAGCTGCAGATGGAATGGAATGATCCAAAAAACCTATTTTCAATATGAAATAGAAAAATTTAGGTAGTATCTTGTTCCTTTTTTCCCTGTCCCTTTATGTGCTGGATTGTATTTTAAGACATTGCGGACAATGTCTACTTTAAGTTTGGAGTGGAACAAACATTGAGTTTTAGTCTTATTATTCTTATGTGATTGTGTGTTTCTACTTCTTCATTATATATAAAAAAATAAAAAAAATTAAAATTTCAAAAAAAGATTTTCTTGTTTACTTATGTGTGTTAGGTAGCCTTGTCTGCACATATATTTGAAATTATGTATTAGTTTATGAATTGTGAATATGTTACATACTTAAATTAATTGATTTCTTATCCATGTAAATCTTGATACTATTTGCGGACATGAATTAAGTTTAACATCATAAAGTAATTGGTTGATTAATATGCTTGATAGGTTGAAAACATTGCTCAATTCGAAAATTTATCCCAAACAAACTCATAATCCATGGAGGCTTTATATATCATAGTGTCACGGTTACCTTTTTTAACCAAAAGATAAAAAGGAAAACTGTAACAGTTGGGGTCCAAATGGATTGAAAACATCAATTTGATAATTAGTTGACATGCATATGCAAAAATGGGATATTTTGACCATTTTAAGTAGGGGTACTTTCGTCAATCACATGATAACTTTATATTTTTCAGTACAAATCAAAACAAAGGTTATCTTTTCTACCCACCCCACCCAACCCAAAATCGAACCTAAAAATAAAAAAAACTCTCCATCGTCGATAGACCAGCCACAGCCACCCATCTCACATGAGTCGTACCGTAAATTGCCACCACCACCATCAAACCAAAACAAATTGCCACAACCACCATCAAACCTATAGCAAAAAATAGAAACTCCACTCCCACCAAACCAAAACCAACTGCTACCATGCACCACTACCAACACTAGTAATCTGGTTGGTGATAACCCTTGAAACACATGACATTCGACGACGTCGAACCTCCTCAAAAAACACACACAAAGTGAAAGTCCTTATCCAAGTGTGGCTCCTGACCATAAATTATCCATATGAAAAATCATAATCCAGATCACAGCCAAGACCATGGGCTTTCAAGTTTTTCTGCTGCTACGCTCACTCCTGAAGCCTACGACGCCCTCTATCTCGTGTCATTCATTTACCTTTTAGTTTTCTTTGGATTTGACTTTGTTCAATCCATCATTTAGAGGATTGCGACTTTAGAGCAGCTAAATCCAACGTGATGCGGTCTAGAGGTTAAGGGTTCAATTTTGGGGTAGTGCTGTGAGATGCTAGTGGGATATGTATAGATGCTGGTGGATTGTGCAAAGATTTGGGTTCGATTTTGATTTTCCATTTAGGTTCCATTTGGCAGTGGAAAGGATGGTTACGGTGTGGGGGTGGTAGCGACGACGACGATGCGTAACAATTTCTTTTGTTTTGAGGCAGGGGTGGGGTTTGGATGGGAAAGAGGAATGGGAAGGGAAGGAAGATGGTGATGTTTTATTTATTATTTAATTATTTTTATTATTTAACGAAAGAAAGTGCAAAATTACTATTTTACCTCTTTTAATTTTGTTAGAATTGGTCAAAATTCACTCTTTTGATCCACTAATGATCAAATGAATCAATTTGGACACTAGTCGCTAATTTTTCAAAGGTTCGAGACTTTTGCTTACATAAATTGGAGGTATAGATAAAATTTGCAAAAAATTCAAAAAGTAGGAACCGATGCTACATTTTTTTTTTGAAAGACAAACAACCGAAAACATAGGAACAAACAAATTCAGACAACCTAAGGGGCTGTTCTCTTTAGCGTTTTCGGGCCGTTTTCTGTTTTCGATTTTCCAAAACGGTGAAAACGCGTTCTCTTTCCCATTTTCGAAAACACAAAAAAAATTTGTGAAGAAAACACAAAACGACATATTTGCCGTTTTGAACGTTTTCAAGCAAAAATTGGAAACTAATGAAAACGCGGAAAACACCCAAATCAAAAAAATGGTTCCTGGGAAAAACCATCATCTCAGCCAAGAAACAACCACCTGCACCTCAGCCAATAAACAACAATATCAGCCACTTTCCGGCCACCTAGACCGTCGGATTCCACCACCAACAACCTCGACGCACTCCCTTCTATCACCTCCAATCATTCATCATCCATGAAACAACAAGAATCGATAGAAATTGGAAGCCAAAAAACCATTCCCGTGCGACCTGTTTCCGTCAGAAACATCACATCCGGCGACGCCCAAGGTAGTGCGACACCACTGGTCGAATGCTCATCCCCAGATGACTCCAACCATATCCCCAATCCACCCCAAACAACTCTTCAATGGTCAGATTTAATGGAGGAATATATTACAGTAGCAAAGTCCATCCAACAGGTTTCGAATTTTGCGAAATTCGACGTCGTCCAGTCGTCCCGTGATCTCGGACCACATGGATTAGCCTCCCCTCCACCCGATGAACCTTGCCCAACCATGGGTTAAGGCCAATTTGAGATGGTGGTTGTGGATGATTTGAGGTTGTGGCGCCGGCTGTAGCAGTGATTGGGTTTGAATTAGGGGTTTCTTTAGCCAGCGGGAAGGGTGTCGGTGAATGTGGTGTTAGTGATTTGAGGGAAGGTGGTGAAATTGGTGATTGTTGTTGTAGGAGAAGGCGGTGCAGCCAGTCTCGTGGAGAGAGACGAGAGAGAAATGGGAAGGGAAGAGAACGTGTTTTGGGCTTTTTTAATTTTGAAAACCATTTTTCAAAATAACAAAAAGAACACATTTTTCAACAAACACAAAATGGACACTCAAAACACAAAATTCAAAATGATTTCAAAACTCAAAACACAAAACTGAAATACAAAGAGAACACCCCCTAATTTTCTCCTTTCCCCTCTCTTTTGAAAGATGATAGATAATGACATTCTCTTATTTGATCCACGTTATTTTTTTCATTCTCATTCTTCTACTCATTTTCAACCACACATTTTTCAATAAAATAATATTGTAATTCACATCAATAACTTTTCATTCTTTTTCAACCACATATTTTTCATCACATCACTTCAAAAAAATGCATTCTCTCATTTTAATGTGTACCAAACATTAAATCTTTTGACTTAAATTAGATAGTATTTAATATTAATTGATTTTTCATTTATAAGAAATGTCATTTAGTCCTTGTTTAATTTATTTTTTTAAAAGAAATATTTTAAATTCATTTTAATTGTAGATTATTTAAATAAAAACAAAATTTCACCTAGAGTTATAATTTCTCTCTACTATTTACTCATACATTTTTTTAAAAAATAAAAAATAAATCAATTTTCACAAATTACTTCACAGAAAATCAACACGTAACATGGGCTTATTTATACGTTCTAATTTTATACACAAACTTTAAAATTTTTGGACAATGATGGGTTGTCTAGGAATGTTTGACACCTTCCCCGACAGACCCCTCACAATTTTTTAATTCATATGGGTTTTTCATGGATCCCACTGTTGTCGGAAATTCAACTATTCCAATCGAAAGAACAAAAAAAAAAGAAGGAAAAACAGAAAAAAGAAGAAGCAGAAGCGAGGTATGTCAACGCAAATCTCCTTAAGACAGATTTCGCAACCACCTAAATTACTCCCACAGTTTTGTGTATTGACCCCTAAATCTAATCAATCAACAAACCAAAAATTATACCAACCATTGAATCTATTCCCGCCTGCTCTTTATTCCCCATTTCTCATCTCTCTCTCCCTTGTCCTTTTCCCTCTCCCAATTTCTCTCTACATTTTTTTTTCTTTATGATAATTTAATTAGTACTGAGAATTGGGGGATCAGGAAGGAAAAAAATAGTAATTTAATCACCCCTTGGGTCTTTTATATTTAAATTCAGATTCAAGAATCCAATGTAATGTTTTATTACTAATTTCTTGTTTTTCTAGGAACCTTTTTTGTGAATTCTTCCCCGTTTGAACAAGAAGTCAAGATTTTGGGGCCAGACAAGTTGGATCTTGTTGTTGATCATTGCAAATAAAAAGAAATTTCCAGGGCCCCGGATCCAAATTATTGCCAGTTATTGGATTTAGATCTTGAAAGAAATTGCCAAGTTTTTGGAATTAGAAGAAGAGTTTGAGGATTTGAAACAAACCCAGATGCGAGGAGGTTGCAAAGAAGAAGATTTTGCCTGAATAATCGATTTCGTGTGTAGTCAATATGAATTCACCATTGTTGACTTTGGAAATTGCTTGTTTGGGGATTTTCTTTGGTTTCTTTGCTCTCATTGTTGAGTCTCAACCGAATGTGAATCCTCCACCGCGAATTACGCCGCCTCCTCCGCCATTGGGTCCGCCCTCTCCATTCGTTCCGTCACCTCCACCGCCGCTATTGAGTCCGCCCCCACCACCGCCACCGCCACCACCGGCTCCGCCCCCTCCATTCCTTCCGCCTCCGCCTCCACCTCCACCTCCACCTCCACCTCCAACTCAATCACCACCACCTCCCCCGCCCATGCCTCTCAGTTCTCCCTCGCCATCTCCAAGGAAACGCCTCTTCCCACCTCCAAACGAATCACGTCCACATTTGAGCCCCCCACCGAAGAAAGATAAGCTAAACACGGGGAAAATAATCGGGTTAATGTTCGCAGGAATAGCAGGGATCTTGCAAGTGTGTGTTGTGGCATTCTTGTTGATTAGGAGGCGGCAAATTTTAAAGGAAGAAGGTGTTTATTGAACCAAAACAAAAGTATATTTGGATATAAATCACATCATTCGAATATTTTTCTGTTCAATTCTTTTTTCTTGGTGGATCCTACTACATAGAATGTAGGCTTCCACTGGATAGAGATTCATTAATTGCGGCTTCCGATTGAGGCCGGGCATCAATGCTGTCGAGGACTTGTCGAATACTGGTGTCTGCATCTGGGTCCAGCTCTTGTAAATTGGTAATTCTTGTTTTTAGTACTAGTTTTTCATTTATTTGTTCATTAACTCATGTTGCTTCGATATTGTTTAGGATTTGATATGCAAATCTTTGTCAGGATGTCAAAAATATATGTTGTCTGCTGATTCCGTATGGCTAATATGTTACTGGAAATATGGGTTTTGGATCCTGGAATGAATTGAGCGTAGTGGTGCAGAAGGATTCATTTAGTCGAACCTAAATTTATTTGGTAACAAAGCTCGTTTTTATTGTGGTTGTGTCAAGATTGATAGCTGATTAGCTCGGAATAACAAATACAGAAGCCATCACCTGAGTTTTTCTTATCCCAGGAAATGTCACCACTTTGAGATTGTCTAAATTGAAATCATTAACCAATAGCATTGAACTATTCACTAAATGATGGGGGTCGATTTTTTTCGTTTTGTTATTTATCATTTTCCAGGCTTTGTTTAAATTGCTATTGATGGATAGTAATCTAGAATGTACCTTTAATAAGTTCAAAAAACTGTAAAATGGTCTAACCTGCTTGTTGTTGGTTAAAGAAAATAACATTGGGTAATTGATCTCTTTAGAGTGATTTGCACAAGTTCATTTTCTTTTCTCGTCTTGGCTTATGCACAATCCAGGATCATCTTGTTGGGAAATTAGCCCTTGTTTGAGCCTCATTTTTTTTGGTTAAAACAATGAGTTCTGGAATAATGTTTTTTTATTAAGAGTGATGAATCCTCTATTGATCATTCACAACCTTAGTATGATTTTTGATATATCCGAACAATGCTGTATTAGCGATTCTTGATAGAGCAATATCCAATATCACCAAAGTATGAGTATCCTCGTATTAGGTACTATGATGACATCAAGTTGAAGGATTAATTCCACTATTAAACGTTAGTAACCACCGATTGTTCATTTAGAATCTTTCCAATAGGTCTTCAATGTTTTGTTCTCTTAACAAAACATCCACGCGTGCTTTTAAATATCACTACATTTTAATTTGTGAGATCAGCTACTCATTTTATAAGAGAGAAATGTCACACATGATAGTCTTTCTTTAATAACAATATATGTACTCGTTATTATTTACGACCACATATAATTTAAGATTTAGTCATATATAATTTGTTTATCTCAATTACTACTTCTTGTGATTAACAAGTTACCAAGATTTGAATTTTCGGATTCTATTAATTTTAATTTATCAGAATAGTAATTTAATTAAATAATAGATCTTCCATTAATAAAATGCATCAATCATATTAAAAGTGTTGACATCCAAAATAGATTGGACATATGGCATGACACTAACATACCTTTCACGGGATAACATCTTATCCTATTCTGGTTAAAAGAGAATATACAAAACCAGTGGAGGTGATGCAGATTGGGGATAGAATAATGCTAGTTTAGATGGTTAGGACATGTTTGTGTAAACATAATGAGGCTCATTTTCCTAAGAGTAACACGGTGTCGGTAGAACGCATCAGGTGAGGGAGGAGTATACTAAATATACCATGGTTTGTGGTAGTTAAGAAGGATCAATGAATTTATCTGTTGCCTCTTGTTTATTGTTGTTAGATAGACTCGTGCGTCTCCTTGTGTCAGTATTCATCTGATTGGATGTCAGCTTCAGGAGAAAACTGAAATCTAATTCAAATCGTAGGTTGTGTAGAATAAAATCCGAAATTTCAGCTCCATTTTGTTATGAATAACTTAAACCGTCAATGCTTTGTGCTTACGGATATTTTTACTAGTTTAGGCATGACAACTAAAGGAATTTTTCTTTCTTTCTTTCTTTCTTTCTTTTTAATGTTGTAGGTGATTGTGAAAGATGAGGATTGACTTGTAGAAGAAGCATTTTCTGTTTGTCAATGTAAGGAACTGACTTGAAAATTGTAATTACTTCTGGATTGCAACAACTACACTATAGCTCATTTGCCACCTAAAAATGTAATTCAGAAAACCCGAGTTATCGATTTAAATGCCGACTTTTAAATTTCAAGAAACCTTCAAAGAAATCATCTGACAGGGACTAAATTTGTTAAATTTTGTATACTTCACCTACCAGTTAGTGCAGTTGATGGTTATGGAGTTCAATAAGACATTGTAGACTTGTCATGTTTTCTTGGATACCTGGTTAACTATTGTCTGAAAGTTGCTCCAGCTTTAGGATCTTTGTCTGTTTTCTGTTACACTGATTATTTTTCTCATCTTTTAGAGGATCATGAGAATTTTTTTGGACAATTATGGATTTTTAAGCTACACTTTTATGGTTAATTTCTTCATGCCCATTGGGGTTCGAAGTTCACGAATAAATTGGCTACGTCTCCCAATCAAGAACCAATGGCTTTACAGGAGTTTCTACAATACCTTCCACAGAACACTACTCAATAGCCTCAATCAATTGATTCATCAACAAGATCAAAATCTTAACTACAATCTAACAATCGAGCCTCTAATATCCTATTTATACACAGTAAAATGCCTCAATCACACTGTACAATGACAGCACAAGCTCTATTCCATGTATTTTCCACAATGAATCAACAAAATCAATGACTTTCACCAAACAAATTGGAGTAGAGAAAGAGAGAAGAGACTGTCTTCGGTGAGGGAGAAGCTTGAAGGCAGCGTGAAGGTTGATGGATCACAACAATGAATCCTCTAACATTAGACAAAAAACTTTGTATCCCTCTTTAGTGGTTGTGATTCTCTGTTGGAGATCCAAGGGCTGTGATTTAAGCTGCCCATTTTACTTCAAATCAGTGGAGCAACTAATTTGATTCTCCAGTGTTGCAAAGGGAGTCGCTATTTACATTTACCATTATCATCTATAATCAAATAAAATATATCATTCTAAATTCATCCATTATTTCTTTCATTAAAATTTTTGGACCTTTTTGTGAAACTATAGTATTTATAAAATATCCTCTTCAATTAAAGCGAGAACAATGGAAGAAACGTCATTAGAGCCAATACATAATGACATAGTAACATATGAAGAAGGATTTGAAAAGTAAGAATTACTTTTTTATGGTGGTTTGATGAATTTAGCATGTCAAGGATTATTCGACAATGTGTCTTTTGAATTCTAATAGTATCAGTAACAAATTTCATTTCGAATTATTTAAATTTTCTGTTGGGATTTTCTTTTCTTTTTTTGATTTTCTTGAATTGAAAATATTGATGGTTATTGTTTCCGCTATCATTATCTAAACAATAATTTTATTTTTTTTGCTAAAATTATCTTTTTTTTCCTCTTAAATTCAAAAAATATGAAATGATTATAAAGGAATTATGATGTGATAGATATATAAAACGGCGGGATAGATATATAAAATTGGTGCGGATGTATAGCCCTAGTTTGGGCTTCATTAAAATTTTAATGCATTTATTCTCTTTCTTTTCAACCACACATTTTTAACAAATTAATTTTACACATAAATTGAAAACTTTTTTAATCACATATTTTTTCAAAAACTCACTATTCCAAAATACATTTTTTCCTAAAACCTCATTAAAATGGAGCCCAAAGGAAGACATATTATTTAAATGAATGAATTTAATAAGAACAATATTGGAATGTGATGTGGACAAAAATAATATTTTTTTAATTTTAATAGAGATAGATATAGATATAGAGTGTGATGGATATATAACAATGATGGATATAAATAACGGCCCCCATTGTAAGATTATGAGAAAATTGTTGATGTCTACTCAGTCTTATCAAAATATTTAGATAAGTTATATATACTCTATAAGAGCTCTATAAAACCATATTTTATTTATATTGTAACTCTCATTTTGAACCCTATGAATATGGATTCGTTGTTATAATAAAACTATACACTTAAATTTCAACTCTCTATTTTCTCTCCTTTTCTTTTTGTTTTATAATACGTTATTGGTACTATGATGCTTAGCTTTAGAGAGAAAAATCAAGATTAACAGTGCAAAAATTCATAGAATTTGGACAATCTGCGTAATTGTGATCAAAATGTTATTATCTCATATGAAATTTGGATAGAATGTTCAAAACTCATTGTTACTTGGATTAGTTATATTCATCTCCAGAAGACTATGTTTTATTCATACTGTAACTATCCTTTTGAACTCTATAAATATGGGTTCATTGTTATAATTTTAAAATTATATACTTGAATTTTGACTTTTTGTTTTCTCTCTTATTCTTTTAGTTTTATAATATGTTATCAGCACGATGGAGCTCACCCAGAATAGAGAGAAAATTCTAATCAATGGTGTGGAAATTTGTAGAATCTGGACAGCCTAAGTCGCTGTAATCAAAATGTTATTATCTCATCATTTCGTGATCCGTTTGTCATGAAATTTGGATAGAATGTTCAAAACTCATTGTTCATCAAATCCAACGGTTAAGATCAAAATTCAACTTTTCATTTGGGATAAATAGCAATGTGAATAGTAGATAATTTTTAAAGTATGATATTATTTTTTTAAAATTACGTCTTTGAATAATATAAGATTTGTCAACTATTCAATGTATTATAAACCTTTCAAATTCAAGTTACTTTTTTTTTAAAAAGTGCTTTTATTCTATTATATATCATAATTGTGAAGTTTTTAGATCGATTAAATCTTTTGATTTAACTAGTTCTCCTGAAGAAACATATGTTTGTGTTTTGATATTATGGTATTATTACAACACAACTTTACTATCTTTAATATTCTAGAAAAATATATAATGTTATTAATTTTCTTGAATAGAGTGCAAATATTCAATGATGTTTATGCTTCTCAAGAAACATAACTAG